TCACCTCCGGATGTCGATTCGTAGCGTTTCGTGCCGATGGCGTCGATTTCGTCAATGAACACGATCGAGGGGGCATTTTCGGCCGCGACTTGGAACAGTTGGCGCACCAGACGGGGACCATCGCCGAGATATTTTTGGATTAACTCAGAGCCAACGATGCGGAGGAAGGTGGCGGATGTTTGATTTGCGACGGCTTTGGCCAAGAGGGTCTTTCCTGTTCCAGGGGCGCCGTACAGAATGACGCCTTTGGGAGGTTTTATGCCCATCTCTTCGTACAGTTCTGGATGTAGTAAGGGGAGCTCGACGGCTTCTCGCACCTCTTGTATTTGGGACTCCAACCCGCCGATGTCGGCGTAGGACTCTGTGGGTGCTTTGTCCAATTTCATTACGGATACCAATGGATCGGCGTCATCGGTCAGAACACCAACGACAGAGACAGATTTGTGATGAAGCAGAATCGAAGCGCCGGGCTCCAGCAGATCCTTGTCGACAAAGGACATGATGGAGACATAATACTCTGGACCGGTCGCGGAGGAGACAATAGCGTGATCGTCGTCAATGAGTTCTTCCAGGTTGCCGACTCCCATCGGGCTGCCTCGCATGTCGTCGACCTTACTTCGTTCATCAGAGTTGCGATCTAGCGGTTCACCTTCACCAGCGGTCGAGGGAGCCTGTGTTTGAGCAGCTTTGGTTTTTCGGATTTGTTCTTGATTTTCGACATATTCTTCTTCTAGCAGGAGATGATCGTGGACTCTTTGCATACGGAGGTATCGTAATTTGCAGCGGGCAGTTGGGTAGATGGTGGGTAACTTGGCGGCAGCACTTGGGCCTGCCTGCTTGCGCTTCTTGCGGCCGATCCTAGTGGTGGGCTGCGGAGGAGGTTCATACTTGGGCTTATCCTTCTGAGGAGAATGTCAGTGGGAGATTCCTCGAGCTTCAAACCCTGCGTCCTACCTTCTTGTCCTTGTCGTCTTTTCCTCCATGACCAGGGCCGCCTCCCTGCTGCGATGATTGCTGGTTCCCCTACAGGTGTCAGTAGAGCAGTTATCACATTTCTTCGGGGGTTTTCCATCCTACCATGATGCAGATGGCTACACAAAGATTTGCGGGGTATGATAATGACCAGTGATGAGATTGTGAAAGTGGAAATGGTTGAAAGGCGAAATGGCGAGATAATTGATTACAGCAACTTGGGAAGATGCGTGACGATGCCTCGTCGCGCCTGCTCCGGTGCCAAGATGTGGCTAGTGAGAATTTGTAGACGTACTTGGTAGTGGCTGGGGAAGTGTGGCTGCTTCACCGATTCGCCGATGAGGAGAGGCCCTCTCCGATTTCCACCACCACCACCCCATCTGCACTCGCTGCCCCGTGCTTATGAAAGTGAGGCTGCGTCCATCTCGTCGTAGGCCACAAAGTAGGCAACACGTCCACGGCGGCTGGTGTGACACACCAACCAATTCTTGTCATTGTATTGATAACTGCCATCTTAGCATCTCGACTCGTCAGCTCAGGTCTTTACGAGTCCGAGTCCTCAATCCACTTTCTCTACCACATACCTCCCGGCCCATCTGCGCATCATCTGTTCTTCGACGTGATTCTAGCTCACAACTTCGTTCGTTCCTGTCCTGCCTCTTGCGTTCAACGGCATTCCATCTTCTTCGGGACTCATTCATACATTCGCCAAAGCCTGTCAGCCTTATCTCGCACTTTGCTGATTTGCTTCAGCGTCATCCCACAGTGACGGACCTTGAATCATCCCTCTTCGACCGACCGAAACCTCCCAGTGCTTCCTTCGTTCGCTTCCTTGCGCGAGACGGCAAAAAATGGCAGGTCACAAGGCAAGAAGGATAGCCAAGGATCTGGCGGACATCCGTGCGGATTCTACCTCTCAAATCTTTGCAGAGCCCATCGGAGATAGCATCACGGATTTGAGGGGATCTTTCAAAGGCCCTTCGGGGACCCCGTATGAGGGTGGTACATATGAGGTCTCCATCAAGATACCTAATGAGTACCCTTTCAAGCCACCAGTTATGAGGTTTATAACAAAGATCTGGCATCCGAACATCTCCAGCCAGACTGTACGTTTGTCCACAAGACTGGCTAACGTTGAAAGAGGGGACTGACAGCTTCTACAGGGCGCCATTTGTCTAGACACACTAAGCACAGGCTGGTCACCTGTTCTAACGATCAAATCTGCCATGATCTCATTGCAGTCGTTGCTTAGCTCACCGGAGCCTAAAGATCCTCAAGATGCGGTCGTGGCGAACCAGCTCATCAAAAACCCCAAAGAATTCGAGAGGCAAGCACGCGAATGGGCGGTGAAATACGCAGGCGCTCCCAGATCTTTTTTCGGCGAAAGCAGCGGTGGAGCTACCGACAAGGACATTGAGGCTGCAGAGAAAGAGAGCCAGGCGAGAGAAGCTCAAGCCAGCATTGCAGTGTACGACGGCTACAATAAGGATCTCATTGACCGATTTGTCATGATGGGGTTCGATGTGGAACGGGTGGTGGAGGCATTCAATTACGTCGGCATCGATCGTAACGGCGGTCAGGACTATGAACTTGAAGAGGCGTACATGGGTGATATTACGGCAAGACTGTTGGGTGAGCCTTAGATGCGCTGGTGTGTCTCTGAGCTTCCTGATTGATTCAATGCATAAAAGCGATGGTGTTGATATGGCAGGGTTCGGGGGCTGCCCATACGGTGGCTTCGGCGGGATGTCTATCACGAGAATTCATGATCCGTATGCTGCTCAGATAAACAGTTGTACCTGCTTGGGTGATCATTTGTAGGCCGTGACCCTGGCTTGCTCGATTCTAGATAATGTATTATATGCTAGATACTTCCATTGGTGCGGCTGTGACAGTGGCATCTTTGGGCTGCTCTTTCAAATACTTCATACACCAAACAGCTTGTCAATTTTGGATTTTGAGGGGTTTCCGCGAAGTGAAACAGGCGGAGACTTGTTCCCAACTTCATGTCCATTTTTGCCTACCACCACTTCACCGAACCACACAGGACCAACAGACGGTCATCAAGCCAGAGAAATCATATATAATCGACCGGTGACTGCAGAAGATGTCAAATTATCTTGTGCCACCATGATCGAAGACGATATCTACAGAGCCTCATCACAATACCGTTATTGGTCATACACCAAAGAATCTTTGGCTCGGATAAGGGAAGAGACCAACAAACTTGCCTCCCAGAGGGTGAAAGCTGCCTTTCGACGCGTGCATGCCGCTAACAGATCATCTCAAAATGGAGACCATGAAAACGGTGGTACTGGCAACGGCGACGGACCCGATGCTGCCCACGTCGAGATCGAGACTTTGACGGTACATGAAGAGTTGAAGATTGTGGAATGGCATTGCTCTAAAATTATGGATATGGGTGAAGCCATGAATCCGAGGATACCTTCGCATGTAGTGGTATGTTGATATTCCTCCTTTCCCGCATCTGTCTCCATTTCAGCGACCGATGCCCTTTTACAAGAAACGGTCAATAAAATCTCTGTCGAAGTTGGCCATCTTCGCCCTCGGAATGTCTTCTCTCTGCTATTGCCTGGGTACTTTCTGTTGCAGGTCTACACTTCTCGATCTTACTACGGAAGCATCGGCCCTTTGCTCTAACAACGTCGTTTCCAGGCCACGGCCATCCAATATCTCCGCCGTTTCTACCTCACCAACTCTCCGATGACCTACCACCCAAAACAAATCATGATGTGCGCGCTATATCTCGCCACCAAGGCCGACCACTTCTATATCCCTCTATCACGCTTTATCGCTGAATTCGACAATGTCAGCGAAGATGATGTAAAAGCCCCCGAATTCTTACTCTTGCAAGGCTTAAGGTTTACGTTGGACGTGCGGCATCCAATGAAGGGTCTTCAAGGAGGACATGTGGAAATGAACGTTTTAGCAGAGGAAGGTCGGTTAGGCAGCAGCATCACCAAGGCCAATGGGAGTGAGAAAAGGGTCGGCATCGCCGCGGACAGAGCGAAAAAACTCCTCGCTACGGCGGCCCAAATGACAGACGCCTATTTCCTCTATACACCCAGCCAAATCTGGCTCGCGGCAGTCATGGTCGCGGATCGAGAGCTCGTGGAGGCGTATGTCAGTGCGAAACTTGGCGCACTGCCACTTGCGGCGAACGACGCGGAAGCAGCTGCCGCGAATTTTAAACAGAAGTTGATGGCTACGCTCTCCTCTTGCGCCGCCCTTCTCGAGTCTTATCGAAGTGCCGAAGACGACGCCGCACAGCGCAAGGAGATGAGGCGAATCGGCAAGAAATTGACGGTATGCCAAAACCCGGAGAAAATGGACATCGTGGCGGTAGCGAGGGCCAAGGCGGCGGAGAAGAGGGAAGGCGGTGATGGATCAGATGCAGAAAAAGCGCTCAAGAAGCGCAAGTTGGAGAGGGAAAGGCTGGAAAGGGACGGAGATGTGTTTGGGCCGGAACTGAGGGATGTGAAGACTTGATGGTTCACAAGTGATACCGATGCTGGAAGGCCGGCCTACACTGCCACAACTCGGGTTTCTTTGTCTTCTTGCACTGGTCGGGGGCAATTCTACGATCGACGGCCCCCAGACGCGTATCTATTTGATGCCGTCAAGATGTTGTCCTTGTCGAAGGACACTGGTCCACTCTCAAAATACATATGACAGATATTCCAATATTATTTCCGGATCTGATGTGTTTGGCAATCCGTAGACCTGGTGGGACGCAAGGGGAAATTCCTCTCACAGCCTTTGATCGGACTTTTCAGCGCTCCTCTGTCCCACCATGGGGTAAATTTCTGGTGTTACATTGCCTCTTGGTGATATCATACGGCCCGCGGATAGGTTTCCTTTTCAGTATTTTTACGCGTGCAGGGTTTTAAAGATCGCGAATTCATGAGAAAGCGCGATGTCAAAAGTCGTGACTAAAGAGGAGCGTCTGTTACTATCCATGTGAAAGTGATTGAAGTGTTAGCGGCACGAAACATCAACCTCGCAAAATGGCAGCACGAGGCAAATACAACGTCGGCATTCTCGGATATGGCTTGAGTGCTAAGATCTTTCATATCCCTTTCGTGAATGCGGTTCCGGATTTCAATCTCTATGCAATCGTACAAAGAAGCCCGAAGCCAGACAATGATGCAAGCAAGGACTGGCCCAATATCAAGGCATATCGATCCACAGAGGAGATGGTGGAGGACGACCAGGTCCACGTTATTGTCGTCACGACTGCGCCGGAGTCACATCTTCACCTAGCGAAGGCGGCTCTGTTGGCGAACAAGCATGGTATTCATCTCTTCCGCCACTTCTGTCTTAACAGATCTTTATTTACTAATGAGGTGTTCAAAGTTGTTGTTGAAAAGCCGTTTACGCCCACATCAGCTGAAGCACAGGAACTCGTCGATCTGGCCAAAGTTCAAAACAAAATCCTTACCGTCTACCAAAACCGACGGTGGGACTCGGACTTCTTGACATTGAAGAAGTACATTGAAGACGGCACATTGGGCCGCATAGTCGAGTTCGAAACTCACTTTGATCGGCATCGACCGGAGCCGCCACCGGATAACTGGAAGGCATACCATGCACCTGGCACTGGTGCAGTGTATGACCTAGGGACTCACCTGATGGATCAAGTCGTCTGTTTGTTCGGCATGCCGAAGAGGGTTACTGGGTTCGTCGGGTCACAGCGAGAAGTGAATACCACAGGGTTGGAGGACTCTTGTACGGTGCTGCTACATTATGACAGCCCCAAGATGTTGGTCACGGTCAAAGCTGGCGTCGTCAGCCCGGAGGTGAACCAACTGAGATACTGGGTTCGCGGCGACAAGGGATCATTCAAGAAGTTTCACCTCGATCCACAGGAGGATCAGCTGCGGAAGGAAGGCCTGAGACCCGGCGATAAAGGCTATGGGATTGAGAGCGAGGACAAGTATGGGACATTGAATGTTTGCAAAGATGGTAAGATTGTCAGTCAGGTTGCTCCAACCGTCGAGCCCGCGACATACACAGAGTACTACCGGCGTCTTGCTGCTGCGCTGAGTGGAGATGTTTCTCAGGTTCCCGTTGCTCCTCAGCAGGCAGTGGGTGTCATAAGGCTGGTTGAACTCGCTCGTGAAAGCTCGCAGTTGGGACGGACTTTGTCTGTGTGATAGTATCCATGTACGAGTCGAAAGACTCCTGAGAAGTCGGAAAAGGATGGGATAACCCCAATTATGACGGGAATACAACAGAGCGTATTTGGGAAACATATGGCGGCTGGTGGATTTTTGGTTCCCCGTACAAGGCTGCGAGGCTGCGAGGCTGTGCCACGGTGAAGCATGTCTCCGTAGAGACGATCCCATTCCCACAGCAGGTTCGTCGGAGGTATTTCATGATATCGTTTCTGGACGATGCTGTTAGGAACGCGCACGCAGTTGTTTGGTGTTGTAATCTAAAGGGCGGTCTTTTGCGCTCTCAAGTTCAATGTCCAATGGATGCAATCGACTCCTTTGCGGCTCGGTTGGCTCCAGCTTGGTTCCTCATGCCCTGACTTTCCGCACGACTTGTTGCCAAAGCGAACTCTCTATCAGCCATATCGTACGCCTGGAGAGGCACCGAGTAGCAGACTCAAAATGCTCTTGCGAATCGAAAGCTAAACATGTATCTGAGGCCTCCTCTCAACACACCATTCCTGAGAGTTCCTTGAGAACCGCACACAATTCTTCACGCAACATTTCACCTAATGGTAGTTTGCAAAGAACATTTCGAGCCACAAGTCACAGCCTTCGCTTGAATATTCGGATCCAAGCTTTCCATACGCGCTCGAGTTCGTCGCTCAAGAACTCGAATAGAAAATGTGGACCTGCTCCGACTCTTCCCAAAAAACCCTCACTACCTTCTCATTCCACCACCTCTCTTCCCCAATCCAGCCTTCCAAAGCGAACAAAATTGCCATATCCTCCTTATATTAGTGTCGGGTCGCTCCCCGGGGATAAAATTCGAACTGGCAAGGGTGGGGGTCCGGATATATCACTTCCCAACAGCCCGATCCAAGAACGAGAATTTGAGAAAGAGCGTCAGAGGAGAGAGGAGGCAAGACAGCTAGAACTTGAAGAGAATATTCGAAGAGAGCAGGAGGCTAGGGCAGAGGCACAACGCCAGCAGAATCAACAAGCCCAAAGAGCAAGAGAGGAAAACATTACACGCAAGCGAGAAGAATGGATGCAAAAGCTCCGCAAAGCCGAAGATATCGCCAACCAGCTCGAGGCGTTCCCATGGAATGACAAGGCCGACCTCCATCTTTACTTGCAACGCCATCGTTTGGTGGAAAGAGCGAAGCACCTCGAGTCCCAACTTAAGGATTGGTACGGCGAAGGAGGTCTCAATGAGCAGACTAGAGACATTGGTAACTTGATATATTTCAATGCAAGGGACGCACTCAGTGACGAAAATCTCGCGCCGATCCTGAGAGAGCTCAATGACACTGAGCTGTACTGGGCCTACTTGGGGAACCCAGATGGTGTCAAAGATGAGAAGCCCGGTGCGTCCGTACCAACGCGGACTAGACTTCGATTGTACGAGATCTTATGGCTACGCTACCAAGTGATTGATACGGCCTGGGTGATTTCAATGACATTACACGATCTCCGACAAATACGAAGGCTAAAGGCTCAAATATTGTGCTCTGCAGAGATATACAGCTACCATAAACTCACCTACCCGCTTCAGCTACTTGTTAACGCGATAAGTCTCAATGCCGAGCGTATAATGCTGGACTACTTCCATCTCAGACGCATGTCGGGGCTTTTCTACAAGCCCTCATCGCGACGGCTGACTAAGCTATTTTATGAAAGCGCATTTCTCTTCCATGGAGCGAAGCTGCGTTGGTTGAGCAGAATTGCTATCCGTGATGTGCGACGCAACCTTGAAGAACTTGCGGCGTCCCCTGTCCAAAGGGAGCTGTTCACAAAACTGGGACCTTTGATTGCCCACAACCGAGCCTTCGTGGGCCTCCAGAGCTCTTACAAAGGTCTGTTAACACTGCTCAAGATCCCATCTCGATCTCCACCGGCTCGACTACAGATGAAGATTGAAGAAGCTCATGACCATCTCTCTGATGCGCAACGAGATATTCTGCTTTTGACTGAGTTCGCTATGCTCTGGTCTGGTGTTCGCAAGATATGTTCGGATAACCAGAACCTTCAGCGGGATTGTCATGTGCCAACTCTGCAACTCAATCCTGCTCCAGCATCTTCGTTTCTGCCCCGTCACGTTGTTGCACGGCCTCAGAATGCTGTTCATTACGTTGCGCCCTGGCGGATTCCTACATCTCTCTATCCTCTCGGTACAGCAATCCCAATCCACTACGTTCTTACGTACTCGGGTCTTCGGATGGTGTTGCCACGGTTGACTGCCTGCAAGGTCCTGGGTTTCGACACTATACAAACAGCTAAAACCCAGGGAAACCGCTTGGTTGAATTTTTGATTCTTGCGAGCGACCACGAGGTGGCGATTATCCATATTGCTTTAATGAGCCAATTGTCTCTCATATCAAAGGAGCCTTTCCTTGATATCATGCCAAACTCTTCGATTTTGAAGGTTGGTGTAGATGTCGAATATCAGCGGCGAATATTGGCAGATGGTCCTTCTATTGAGTTAGAGGGAACTGTCGAGCTCCGTGATCATCTCGGCTGGAGTGTATCCCCTGAAGCGGGATCTGCGAGAGACCGGGCTGGGAGTATCATCTCATCGATGGCCAACCAAATTTTGGGTTCCCCTTTACCCCCGGTCGACCTTTCGCGGGCACTTCGAGATTTGCTTCTAGGAACGGAATTTCGTGCCATTAGGAGAGTTGGGTCAATTGAACCCCTTCATCTCCTTACACGTAGGTTACAAGTTCCCCGAAGATGTTTGTTATTGACAATGATCAATAGATCTCGCCTCGCGTGCCTACGCTGCTTTGCAACTATATCGAGTGGCCGTCGGTGAGAGGCTCGGCCCGATACCCAGCTCCTCAGTCCAGTCTAACGTCGATGAACATTCACTGGGTCCTGTTTTGGTCTACAGGCAGTCGGGTATAAATGATGATGGCCTACCCAGACAAAGATCGCTTCCCCGCCAACGACTGCTCCATCTAGCGAGCATTGCGGAACACTGGGCGGCGACGACCTTCTGGGCTAAATTACATCCGAAAGAGTTTAAAAAGCTTTCCAGGCGAGAACAGAAGGTTAAAAGAGAAAAGGCTATCAAAAAGCTGACAGCCTATTGCTTGTTCACGACATTTAACGAGAGATTGGATACAATTCAGCGGTATATGGGGATGCGCCTGGTCGCCACTGAGATCCTTGCTATTTCCGACGAGGCAAAGGTTCCCCTCCGTCCAATGGACGTTGAATTACTTGACATCTGGCGAAGGAAGCGAGAGGAGAGCCTTCCTCAAAATGAAGCGCAGGGAAATGTCGGTTTTGGAGTGGTATCTACGTCGCATGCTCTTGGAAAGGGAGTCAATACTGGCTCGCCATTCTGGAAGTCCGGGTTGCAAGCACCCTGGCCGGTTAAACCAGTACTGCCCCCTGCAATCAACTCTGTCGGTATACGGAAGGTTGCTGCCAAACGGTGCGGGGTTCGAATAGTGCAGTCTCTTTCGCGATCAACTCAAAATGTACGTCGATTGCCCCACGACTTCACAGCTCGACCTTCGCAAAAGAAGATTCGGGCAACTTTAACTAAACCAAAGAAGCCACTCTGCAGCGCGACCAAGGCACAGCAACCTTCACCTCATCTGAAGCCGGAGTCAAGTGCTTCTACCGCACAAAAGCCACCTTTACGCTGTTCAGATCTGTCTGGCCGCGTGGACTCGCAGATATATGATGTTACACAACCTGTGCAAACAGTGGCTCGAAGGAAGCACCAGACGAAGGGAACCGGGGGAAAGGAACGACCAGAGTTGAAAGTGAGGGACGCAGCAGCCATAGGTAACGCGTCGAGAAGAATAGAGAAGGAGGGAACTAAGGAGGGAGAGGGGAATAGGACAACAATAAGGCCGAAAATTCCGAGGCCGTGGCCAAAGATCAGGCGGAGTTGATGAAATCGAACGAGCGACGGCAATGAAACTGATCGGGAAGAGAGACATGCAAAAAACACGTCAACCTGTGAAGGTCATCGAGTGAGCAGCGGGAGACAGAGCGTGACGGGCACCAGAGACAGGCGACAAGGGCGGGAGGCGCTCGAGGCCATGGTCAAGATTGCAACAAGGGTAAAGCTGGAGAAGAAGAGAGGAAGAAGTGGCGATAGTGAAAACATTGCCATTTGCCAATTTTAGTCTGTAGTATCTTGGACCGCCCGTCACCATACATCGATTCCTCGAGACTATCAGTCCGTGACGGCGCCCTGGTTCTGCAGTCCCGTGCCAGCGAAGACAAAGTTCCATCCTCCTGGCGTCTTTGAGGTCTCCTTGTGGATAACCATAGCCGCATGTACCGAGTAGTCCCGTGGAGACGGGCAGCAAACCACCTCAGGGACAGCAACCCTTGTTCTTTAGCCTTTTTGCCTCATGTCAGTTAGGTGTTTTACAAATGTCGCATTCTCGAATTTGGTTTGCGCAGACCACCTGCTACCCAGACTTAGACCCAAACCAAGACCCGGGCTATGAAGCTCGAAGGGAAGAAGACGAGAAACATTCGAAGATGAATTCACAGATCGACGCACACGAGTACGCACGCTCCCACACGCAATACCTACCACTTTGCCCAGTTTCGCTCTTTCTGTAACAATCAACCGGTTTGTCCAAGTTGCCGGAACTGTGCATAGAGTGTATTTCCAGTAGCTTCAATTCGCAATGTGGTTATATATCCTCTCATATCTGTTTTGGTTTTTCCCCCCCCCAAGTTGGCGTTCGATATGATTCAGGAAAGAAAGTTGAATCAAGTAAGGATTATCTCTCTCAGGTGATGTGATGTGATGTAATGTGGTGATGCGAGGAAAAAGATCCAGGTCCAGATGCCAGATGCGAAAAGAAAAATGGAAGGAAATGAACGGAGATGAGATGGAACTGGAAAGAAAACAAGTGCATCTAGTCTGGGCGGGCTGCCGTGGTCGAAACCAAACCCGATCGGGCAGGGGGATTAGTTCAGAAAAACCCTGATGGGGATCAACTCATTCCTCCTCAGTAGTCGGTACTTGTGATAGCTATTAGCTAGACGACACCTACCAAGTACTACGTCGTTAGGCACTGGCGTCAAGTGTGGTGGCGTCGTTAATTAGTCAGTCGGATATTGAGCGAGTATTAGTAACCCAGCGGGGCAGGAGTTGACGCATCCGGCCACAGAGCGGCTGAAATGGCACTAGGCCGAAAGCAGGCAATATTCTCAAAATGGACGTCTGTATGCGAGCGCCGAGCGACCGCATATCACTCTTTCTTGACATCAGACTCAGAGTCTGGGATCAGCATCGCCATCACCATCAGCGTCAGCCTCGCGCCACCAAACCAAACCAAACCAACCCACCCATACCCATCCCGGCCCCCGGCCCCGTTTTCGCCTGCTTGTTCGTTCATCCTGGCCTCGCATCCGCATCTTCGGCTTCGTGCAGAGTACAAAATCGGCCGGCCCAACCTGCCCCATTATTATTACACCTCGAAACATCTGATTTCATTCGTTGCGCTACTAGTAGTTGCCCAGCGTCGTATCTGTGCGTGCTAATAGGATCGACCACGGTACTGCCACCTGAGAACGGTCAGAATCGTCTATGTATGCAATATGGACTACTCGGTACTAGCTCTCGAGCCTCGACAAGGGTTCGTATGCCCGGAATAGGCTTGGTCGCAACCTCCCAAGTCGCTCCGGAATACTCAGTACTGAACCCCAGTATGTACGATCATGCTGGATCATGCTCTGAGCGACCATGTGGCGCAACGCAATGGGAATGTAACCACTTTTGGGACTTCAAGCCTAGTAGTTTTTGCACAAGGGAGATGGAGTTGCCGTTTCCATGTCATTGAGAATGCTGCTCTTACTGTCACAACTCGTCATATACCTAGCAAGAACCACCGTATCGATCCTATTGTAACAATGGTTACCGAACCAATGCCAATGTTGGTTTATCTTTCCTCAAAAGCAATCACGACCGGCCCCATCTCCGCCAAAAACGTCCCTCTCTTTTGCCCATGCCCCTGTGTCCTTGCCTCCCGGACTCCTCTCTCCTTGCAACCCGCCAATAATACACCGGCAAACCACTGACGACAAATACAATGACAATTACAGTCTGGACGGGCTGTGCCACCACAGCCCGACTGACGAGGAACAAAGACACGCAGCAGAAGATGATGGGTGTGGTGATGAATGTGCGATAAGGTCTTTCCAGTCGCGGTTCGCGAATTCGCAGAACGATGAGGCCGAGGACGGTCAGAAAATAGAAAGTGTATCCAGCGACGCCATAGAATGTGAGTAGTGTCTTAAACTCGCCGAGGATGATGTAAATCATGCACAGGAGCATGTTCAACAGCATTGCGTTGACAGGCGTATATCCCAAGCCGATGGATTCATCTCCAAAGATGCGCGCGAGGGTTTTCGAAAGCCATGACCTTTTGCGGGTTTTGGTTAGGGATACTGGTGTCTCCGGACCGGAAGAGCTCCCAAACCCTATCTTCCCGAACAGCGAGGGCAGGTAGCCCTCTCGCCCAGCAACGTAGACCAAGCGGCCAGAGGTGAAAGTAGTGGCATTAAGTGCGCCAAAACATGAAGCACTCACAATCAACGCCAGGATGAGCCCTCCAATGGGGCCAAAGACTTTGCTCCCAAACTGAACGGCAACGGTGTTTGACTTGTTGATTGTCTCTAGAGGCAAGACGAAGATGTATGCGACATTGGCAAGAAGATAGCATACTATAACGGCAGGCATGGCGGTATGGAGCACTCTCGGTAGATCGCGTGCTGGGTTCTTGAACTCGCCGGTGACGTAGTTTGTATTATCCCATCCGTCAAACGCCCAGAGACCCGCGTAGAGTGCCACAGCCCAGCTGGAAATATCAGTCGACGTGTTTTCGAACCAGTTATGGTCGCGCCAATCTTTATTGGCGGGGCCATTGAAGGAGAGGCCCGTCACCGCTACTACGATGCCAATGATGGTCACTGCCACGAGCGCAACGAATTTGAAGAACATGAACAGATCCCCCAACCGAGCAGCGAAGCGTGTCGAGACACAGTTGAAAAGTGTGACCAGCACCAGCGCGGCCAAGGCGGGGATTTTGTTGATCCATGGATTGACATCTTCGACCTCTGCGCCGATGGCGGCACGGACAACGTATTCGCCGAATATGATCGCGATAATCGCCGCCCCCCCGGGTTTGAGGACAAGAATGGCCGACCAAGTGAACAAGAAGCCCACCACCTCGCCAAAGATCTTGGACAAATAGACCTGTGCACCTCCATTGAGTGGTATGGCACCTCCGAGTTCAGCATACGAGGCCGCGCCCGTCCACGCTAGGAGGCCAGAAATTGTCCACACCAGCAGCGCGGCGCCCGGAGATCCCACATGTGAGTTCACTTGCGCCGGGGAAGAAAAGATCCCAGAACCTATTATCAGCCCAACCACCAGTGAGAGCCCGTTCAGATATGTCAAAGTCTTGTTCTTTTCGAGATTTTGCAACGCGCCACGTCTTTCGAGGGACAGCGAGACGGCTGACGGGTTGCCTAGCGCGGCGTATCCTCCTCCTGCAGTCGAAGAAAGTGGGAACAGCGCAGGGGTGAAGTCAAAGGCGGATGAGACGGAGTAGGATCGCCCACGCAAGTGGCTGCGTGCCGATGCTGGGTTTGCGCTGTCCAAGGGATCCTCATTTTCGAGGGAGAGCCGTCGAGAGGAGGAGATGCCGGATGGCGAGGACTCCTCGGACGTAGGTAGCTCATCGTGCTCGGAGTCGGCTAGAGAGGCAAGCTCTAAGGAATCTCTACCTGGGAAGTGAAGAGGCTTCTGGATTGCGGAGAAGCCAGGTGAGGGTGGTGACATGGTTCGTCTGTCAGCGTCGAGGGAAGCTCGGCGAAGTCAAGGGTCGGGTTACTGGGACTCGGGGTTCATGGTGTCGGCTCGCTATTCCCGCGGGGAGTACATTTCCAATCCAGTTGACGGTGAGTGAGGGATATTGTTTAGCTGCTGCTGATCGCAGTCTGGGGATGGGCTGCGGCTTGTTGGGTCGGAGAAGGCCAGGCTGGACGTTGAAAGGAGCCAAGCCGCTAAGACTGCCCGAGGCTTGATCGGCGGAGAGGTTGGCGCTGCTTTTAGCGGTTCGTATTTTTCGGGTTGGACGGTAATATTCGCACCTCTCGCTTGCGGCGTGCAGGGTGTCGAGGCGTGTTTACGAACTCAATCCTGGACTCCATTATATCAGCATCCCACTGACATCCCACTGGCGTCGTGAGCTTCGGGCGGGAGCGGTCGAATGACGAATGACACACGGCAAAAGCACCAGGAACCTTGCATGCGGAAGTTTGCAATTCCTCCCCTTCCCTTGATGTCCTACTGATCGATGGTGTCTCCCGTCCTCCACCGTCTCATCGGAAACTTCGACCGATGGCAAATATACAGGTACGCAACTTGCCTCCCGTGGAGAAGCTCGATGCTTCTACGTCCCTGCGCCCTGCTCTTGATTGTCAGGTCCGTCAGACTCACTCCACCGCGATTGGTGCATGGGCTTGGTGTTCCCTCGTCTCTCAGACGTCAGGCCAAGAGGTGCCAGCGACGCAGAGGTTTTTTTCAGGTTGACGTGAACTTGTTTGGTTGTGGCGCATCTTGTGTCTCTGGACGACCCTCGCTCATCCACACCGGTCCTCAATAGCGCGTGCCGATTTCAGACTCACCGGTCTAAAGGAGGACCCCGA